TTTTGTTTTGCTTTACTGCTATGTAGCGCTCCACTGTGTAAATGTAATAAATGTACTCATTTTTATTATCCATTCATCAGCTGAGGGACATTTAGGTTGTTTCTCTTTCTTAACTACTGTGAAAAGAGCAACAACAAACATGGCTGTTGCAAGTATCTCTATATTAGGATGAGTCTTTTGGGTACGTTTCAAGGAGTGGTATAACCAGATCATATGGTAGATTTATTTTTAGTATTCTAAGAGTTCTCTTCACTGGATTACACACTGTTTGCACCAGCTTGCAGTCCCTCAGTAGTGGGTGAAGATTTCCATTTCCATGCATTCATGGGAGCATCTTGTGCCATTTGTTCTCTTGATTTTAGCTATTTTGACTGGGGTTAGATGAAATCTTAAAGTAGTTTTGATTTGCATTTCATTAATTGCTAAGGATGTTGAGTACTTTTTAATGTATTTATTACCGATTTTTATTTCTTCTTTTGAGACCACTCTGTTCAGATCCATAGCCCAACTTTTTAAAAAGGTATTTTATTATTTTTATTTTACGTGTATGCATGTATTGTCTGCGTGTAGGTGCAATGCCCCAGGAGGACAGACAAGGACATCAGATCCCCTGGAACTGGAGTTATGGACAGTTGTTAGCTGCCATGTGGGTGCTGGGTTTTGAACCTGGGTCTTCTGCAAGAACAGCCAGTGTTCTTAACCGCTGAGCCATCTCTTCAGCCCCCGATAGCCCAACTTTTAATTGAGCCATTTGTTTTAAAAAATGTTTATGAGTTCTTTGTATGTTCTAGATATTAATCCTCTGTCAGATGTGTGGCTGGTGAACATATTCTCCTACTGTGTGGGTTTCCTCCTCACTTCCTTGGTTGTTTCTTTGCTGTGCATAAGCTTTTAGTTTAATTAGGTACCACTTTTCAATTGTTGAGCTTAATTCCAGAATAACTTATGTCCCAAGAAAGAGCTTTCTCATTAAATAAATTTACAAAGGTATTTTCCATTTCTCAAGGTAGAGATTGAAGTGTTTAATAGGGGAGTTATCAAAGTACGAAACACAGTAACTGCTTTATCAATGCATAAAGTAGCTTTAGGTCTCATGTATGCAAACATACAAGGGTCAAAGTATAAGACAAACACAATGATGTGGGGGACATGGGTGGAGAGGGCTTTGCATTGTTTATCTGCCCTGTAGTTTTAGAGTCCCAGAATGTTGGTGTCAGTGCAGGATAGAGCAAGAAATACATATAAATGATCATAACAACAGTAATTTTTCAAAAGCAAAGCTACTAAATATTTAGCATGTTCTGAGAGTTTTTGAACCCATTTACTGATATCTTCCTTCCTATGGATCTGGTAGGTGTTTAATTCTATCAGTTTTATTCCTTCTTTTACATGAACTTTACTAATAAATGCACAGGTAAGTTTAGGCTCCAGCTCTCAAGAACCTACTAACTAATAACAGAGTAAATCTCAGGTTATTCTTTTGTTTTGATCCTCCAAATTATTATTCTCCACTGTTTTCCTAATTTTTAGAATTAATCTACATACTAAAGATGACCTTGTTGTAATTTGTTGAACTGAGAACCTTTGGAAGGACAACAACAATTTAAATCACTTCCATTTTTCCTCATGGGAAGCATTATATGAGTGATTGGCAGATAGAAAAGGCACATAATGAAACAACTGAACTTATGTTAAGAAAGTGAATATTGTTAGTTTCGGGGAAGAACTCCTTTTCCTTGGCCTGTCCCTCAGTTCCAAGTTTCCCTTCTTCAATATTATAATAAAGTAGATGCCATAAGACACTGCTGAAAATATCTATAGCAACAGTTATGTACATCAGTCTGAAAATCAGATCAGATTACAATCCTAGTTCTTCACCTTTCAAAACCTCTTACCTTGGGTTCATTTCCTGGTATTTCACACATCTGCTTCCTCATCTGTTTACAAAGTGAGAATAAGAATGAGACCTTATTTGCTAACAATGTGTCTTCTCCCTTATTTGTGTATCTAAGCATCAAATCCTTATATCAGTCCTTAGAGAAAACCCTGAGGCTGTCACATACCTAGCCAAATGTAATCTTTTAGAAAGTGCTAAATATGGATCCTTATATTTACAGACAAGTACACCAGTCACCACTCATCAAAGAAGCTTCTTTTGCAACAGACTATTACAGAGTTCCACAGCTGGTCACACATAAGAGATTGCCTGTGAAATGCCCAATTCTAAGTTACATATCTATATTGGGACCTCTATACCTAAGACTCATGGAACATAGTGGAACAAGGTGTAGAGAGAATACTAATGTATCTCTCAAATTTATTCAGCATGCACAAGTCTCTCCCTTTAAGAAGATCAGCTCTTCCTCGCTCAGTAGTAATCAGCTGCCCAACAGTTCTCCAACTAAAATTGGGACCTGCTGATCATTTCCACAGTTCTGTGCTGGGTTTTTATCTGCTTGAGTTTACATTGGTTTTGTGCATGTTATTACTACACTGTAAATTCATATGATGAAGGTTCCAGAACCCTGTAAGACTCTAGTTTAATACGGTTGTGTACCTCCTCTCCCGGCTCTTATGATCTTTCTGTCCCCTCTTCCTCAATGGTCCCTGAGCCCTAGGTTCATTGCCTTCTGTTGCTTGAGGGAGCTTTGATGATTAAAGTTGAGAGATGCATTAGACCTCACTCAGCACAGTCACTTTAGTATGGTCCAAAGTGTTCTCCACCAGATTGATTCCCCACTGAGTTTTACTGTGGTTAAAAGCAGGAGCTAGGTCCTCACAGCAGGTGGCAACCTATAAACACACTGTGTGATTACATCCTGAATAACATTTAAAAACAAGAACCAGAATGTTATTACCTGAAAACCTCTGTAGATTTGTCTTAAAGGATCAGGGTATTCTAAGTGAACAAAACTGGTACTGGGCACCAGTTAGAGACAGAAGTGTGTGTATGAGTGCAAGGCATAGCCTTGTGACTATAACCCAACCTGAGTTAGGTTTTCTTCAAACTCACAAAACAACACTCATGAATGACAGTTACTTTTTTCTTCATTCTGTAAGTATTCCATACTGGCATTATGCAAAGTGCCCTATTGATCATCTCCTCAGTTCATCTGAAGTTTCATGGTTGCTGATTTATTTGTTCTGGGACTGGATTTTCCTACTAAACAATCTCCCAATGGCATTTTTCATCTGAGCATTTCTTAAGGTATAGATTAAAGGGTTTAACATAGGAGTTATCATAGTATAGAACATAGCAACTGCTTTATCAATAGGCAAAGTAGCTGCAGGTCTCATGTATACAAAAATGCAGGGTACAAAGAATAAGACAACTACTGTGATGTGGGAGACACATGTGGAGAGGGCCTTGCCTCTCCCCTCTACACTGTGGCTTCTTAGAGAGCACAGGATGACAACATAGGAGACCATCAGAAGGAGGAAGTTTAACATACAGAGGAACCCACTGTTTGCAGCAACAAACAGCCCCAATATATGGGTATCAGTGCAGGCCAGATCAAGCAAAGGGTTCAGATCACACATGAAGTGATCTATGACATTAGGGCCACAGAAAGGTAGTCCAATAATGAAAAAGATCTGTATGATCCCATGAAGAAAGCCTCCCACCCATGACACTCCCACCAGCAGTTTACATAGTTGTCGGTTCATGATGGTCGTGTAGTGCAGGGGCTTGCAGATGGCCACATAACGGTCATAGGCCATCACAGTTAGCAGGATGACCTCAGTACCTCCAAAGAAATGTTCCCCGAAGACTTGAGTCATGCATCCATTGAATAGGATGGTCTTCCTTTCATGGAGTGAATCTACAATCAGTTTAGGGGTGTTGACAGAAGAGTAGCAGGCATCAATAAAAGAGAGATAGGCCAGGAAGAAGTACATAGGGGACCCCAATAATGGGCTGTTTATAATGGTGACCACAATGAGAACATTTCCCAAAACAGAGACGATGTAGACAACCAAGAACAAAGTGAATATGGCTTTCTGCATGTCTGAGTTCTGTGTGAGCCCCAGGAGCACAAACTCGGTCACGTTGTTCCTAGTCTCCATTTGCTTCATGTGGTAGCTAAGCACATTTCCTGGAAAAAACTAATACATCTTCAAGTTGATATAATTTCTGCATTCTAATAACTAATGCCTATGTTCTATTAATGGGTTAACTTTAATGTGATTTTCTTTTAATATTTCCCAGAAAGTTCTGATTACTTAAGACTATTCAAATTGCTGCCTAGGTGAAGAGAGCTGAAAATATTATTAACAGGAGCAACTGGGAAGACATAAAGTTTATTGAATTCTTAAAGATGACTCAGAATTTCAAATTGTACTCACAGTGGTAACCAAACCCCACATACAACTGAAGGTAAATATTTCACCTTTTATTCTTTGAAAATGAGGACCATGAAAGGTAATTAATGATACAAGTGGAAGAATACAAAGGAATTTGATTAAAGAGAAACTTGAAAAATGATGTAGTAAATTGTGCTTAGCTAGAAGGACTAGGGTTCAGTAAGCACAGGAAGACAGAAAAGGGACCCCAGGTATAAGCAAATTTATAATAAGTTAATTTTAAAATAAAATGCATTATTACAATTTCATGTTTTTCAAACTACTTGGAAGTATCTTCTTAAAAGTGCTATATGTATATTACTCAGCTATGATAAACAAAAAAGGCAATAAAAGAACAGAAATGGGGTAAATAGATCCAGAGAAATAATGGCAAATGATGCAGTGAAAGAACACGTGTTGCTGTGAAATACTTCTTAAGGTTTTCTATGTCTGTGTGATAATTTTGTCATATTCTATAATAAAATTGTTCTCATACTGGTTGTCAACAAGTGTTCTGCATACATGGTTTCTTTTATTACTTTAAATGACCCGTGTGGTTGCTATTATTTTGTTCATTTTAGAGAAAAAGAATGATTTTTAGGACTCTGTTGATGAATAAAAGCAAACATATTATTAAATAACATTACTGAAAACTGTCCTCTAAGTGTTTTATAGACACCTGGTGATTCACTAACTGATAAATAGTAGTTTCTCACCTTATTTTTCCAAAAATTTTCACACTTCCTTTACATAATTTAATAGACTAATTGTTTCCTGCCTCAGACAACCAAAAATTAAATGGTACTGTTAAATATATAGTACTCTGGATGTTCTTGATTTACTGATATTTTGTCTTTTTAAAAATGTTTTATTATCATATTCGTAGTATAGATAACAAAGAGATCCATTGTGACATTTTAATTCAATATTAACACATGAATTAAAATAGCATTGTTTGATCATTTAACTTCCCATCACATTCTTTGGTCTCCTTCCCACCTGGCTAATTTCCTTCTTCTTCCCCTATTTGTCTTATTAATAGCTGTACGTGAAATTTTGTGTCTTTTAAAGTTAAATTGCTCAGAGCATCCAATTTATAATGAAGATGAAGGATTAAGCAACATTTAAAAGTTCAGATTTAAAATTAATTAAGGAATATATTTATGACTTGGTTTACTTATTTTACATAAAGAATATCCTTTCTGTAAATATAATTGTTAATGTGGGTTTGTTAGTTGTATTGCTCAGGATTCCCCATGAGAAAGGCATGCTAATAGTGTTAATCTGAACATCAGAAACATTCTGCTTCTAAACAAGCACAGGTCATTTGTTGTTTTACCAACTATGTTTGAGCTATCCTTGGGCAAAGTGTCATTATCTAAGCAAGCAGTTAGATATATTGATTTTTAAATTATAAAAGAACAAATATACCCTATATTGTATCTTATACAAATGTTGGTTTACAATCAACTTTTGATATAAAATAGTGATTTTACTTACTTTGATACTATTTCAGAGATACAGTCACTTGAAGCAATTTCATAGGCAGACATCTTGGTACATAATGATATATTTGAATTTCCAAGCGTTAAGATGAGTGCTGCTGTGTTCTTGAACAGGCTTCTTAGTCTAGGCCTATCCTCTAAGTCACAGTGCTCCAGTCAATATCATTATAAAGTTGAGGTTCTATAACTTCTGAACACTGAAGAAAAGTACAGTGGCTAAATTCATTGGTTCAAGAATTGGAAAGACCAGATGAGAATCATGGGCCTCCCTCTTACAACTTCTGTTACCTTGGGTGCCTTTCCTGACACCTCATAGGACCTGTTTCAGCATCTGCTCATAAATAGAGAATAACAATGATACACTATTATATGAGAACTGACTGAAATAGGAAAACAGGTACCACATTGTTAGGAAAAAATAGTGTTAATTTATTTCTATAGCTATGTATACATTCAGCAGATAAGCAGAATTGACAGTTTGGGCAGTAACATGGAGAAACATTTAACCATGCTCTCAGCTTAGGAAGAATCATCTTCAATAATACTTTCAAAGTAGCCACAGAGACTGAAGACATGCATAGCCCATGATCCCAGAATTAATTTTTACTGTTTGTCCTTGGAATCACAAGCTTATCATCTTTCACTCAGTATTCATATTTAAGGGTATTTGTTGTGAGAAGGCTAGCAAAACTGTGCTCATTCTCATGATTAGTCTTAGTGGTTACTGGTTACATTAATTAGATAAATTAATCATATATGTGGTATATATGTCATATATGTGATGTTTATGAGTCTTACATTGTCTGACATTAAATAAAGGTAAGATATCTAACACATATATTTTGAAAAATTGAGGTAAGGATGAAATATTCTATAATTTTATTTGACGAATCCTAATAAAAGACTAAAATAGAAAACTGTTTACATAATGATACAATTTCTAATAAACATCAGTGCTATTTTAAAACATACCTTGGTAGATTTTATATTTTGATGTTTTTGAGTGTTCAGATCAATTCCATCTTTATGAGTACTCCCTGAGGAAAGATAAACTTTCATGATGAAATACATGCTACACTTGCAGAGATTCCTCAAATGGTTTGATATCAAGTCAACCTGTGCTAAGGAACTGTCTTCATAAAAATATTCCCTCCTCGCCTAAAACCAAACAAGTCTAACAGAAAACCTGAGATTTGAATTTAGAAAGGATTCTCTTAATATACTACTGATAAATGGTCTTTGTTTTCTGATTATTGCCTGGAAGATGGGCGACAGCAAGATTGGAGAAAAATATTCAATGGGATCTCCATCACTAGTGAACCTTGCTCTGTATGTTTGAAGTGCAGTGAAGTAGTTTTTGTATCCTGCATTAAAAGGTATTTGAAGAAGTTTCCATAAAAACTGTGCTTTGTCTCCAAGGAATCAATTATTTGTTTGATAGAAAGGCTTTGTCACAGAAGCATGCATTCTGAAATGATTGAGATCATGCGCTCTTCAGTGGTGTTTTGAATTCCCTGAGCTTGGAAAGTAGCCCTGTGACAGTTCCTTCTTTCTACCTGATCTTGGCTTGCTAAGAACTCTGAATGCAATACAAACAGCATTGGGACCTTTATGTAAATCATAGGTGTAAGTATCTCTTGTGATACATATGACAGGGACACTCTTTTTATCAAAATAAAATAGTTTCTGAAAAACCCACTACTGATGTGAACCAGTGTGAGGTTATAAAATTGGCAGGTATTTTAAACATGACTTCAAAACTTTATTTTTCACATTTAGGAGTACTGTGTATGTGTAGATCTTGAATTCTCCATATCATACTCATCTCTGGGCTCATATGGTAAATAAAATGGAATAAGATACCTCTACTAATTAACATGGAGCAAATTTTTATGCTTCTTTCACAAATATAACTCATTTTTTAATTGTAGATTTTTTTGTGTGTATTTCATACAGACCATTTCATACAATATCATTCATCTATATACCCACATCCCAAATGGCACCATCCCATAGTTTCCACCCCCCCCGTCCCCCACTGGTGCCCATATACTCTGTAATCCCTGTTACTGTCCACTGTATTGTCGGTACCCCCAGCCGTTCTCCAATGCTTGTCCATCTGCTGAATTTAGTCAGCCTATCTAAAGTTCCTCATTTTAGGAACAGCAGCTCTTCCTCATCTAGCAGCAATCAGTTCCCAACTTTTCTTTAGATAAGACTAGGGTCTGCTGTTCATTTTCCCAGTTCTATGCTGGGTTACTGTCTGGGAGTCTCTAAGGTCACCCTGCCCAACAACTCAAAGGAAGGTATGTCCTGACTGATTTATTTCTTATTATGTAGCTTTTATGTACACATGGACTCTTAAAGAATTATGAAATCTACCCGATGATTTTATATCCATGCTCAGGTGGATCTCAGACAGTAACTGACTGTGACTAGTAATAATCAGATACGTAGCGATTAGAGACACATGTGCAAACATCTAAGTGTTAGTGGCGTTAAAAATGAGTTTTTTCTGTATGAAACAGTATATTTTAAAATAAAGTGGACCTCTTTTTTAAGGTTAAAACTTCATTCAATTTTATGTATTACATGGTTTATATTGAGTTCAATATTGTATAACTGTATTAATTCAACTGTGAACCTAAAAGTTTACGGCCAATATTGAAAGAAATGCATCTGTTCTCTGGAACATGTTAGCTAACAACTGACCAAAACTCCAGCTGATCCGGCAGCCTCTTCTGTCCTCTGCGGGCATTGCACAACATTGGTGCACTTACTACATTCAGGCAATATACGCATACACGCACACAAAAAAATAAAATATTAAAATTTTTTTTCATTCTTTAAATTTTTTCAATGAAATTGGCATACATACATGTAATATGTTTTCATTACTTCTACCATCATCCTTTCTTAACTGCTTCTCATCTCAACCTTCCCCTCCTTCCTGTAAATCTTTCTCATGTTCATGTGTTTTTGTTTTATGTTGTGACCCATTGAGTTTATCCCTAGCCATCCAGGTGACTATGGGTGTGGAAGTATTTTTTCACCAGTGAGTACACAACTGAAGACAATGACTCTCCTCCCACATACATTCATCTACAGCCAATAGATCAACAGGTTGAGTGACAGACTGTTGACATGCTCTGGTTTGTGAAGGCCCAGTGCAGGCAGCCATACTTACTATGGATTCATGATTGCAACAGTTGTATCAGCCACAGAAGA